CGGGGACTTATAAACCCGTGAAGGGCTTAAGGAGCTATTAAAACACACATTATGTAAGTGTAAATATCATAACAGAGATATTTAAATCTCCCTGAGAGGGGAGATTTAAAAACGTGCGTGTGCTGTGAAACAAACAATTAAATTAATTGCATTCTTTGACAGTACCAGTTTAAAGTCCGTGTTGAGAAGTCAGGTAGGTTGTCTGCATTTTAGCTTGGACAATATTTATTTATTATTTATAATATAATGATTTATTACTTAATTATCCAGAATTTGCATCGAAAATGTAAATCCCCTTCTGATTGTGTTATGCAGATCGTGTGTTGCCCAGAGGAGGGCGATATTTGCCAATAGGTGCTGAATGAATTATTCCAAGCGTGGCTTTCAGTGAACAGATTCCCCTTGTCAAGGTATACCATTAAAAAAAATTGTTATGCTGCAGTTGAATAGAAGGCTATAACTAAATTAAAAGACATATCAAAAGTTTTTCAAAACCTCAAGAGTACCTAAAGGAGTTTAGGCCTTCTTACACTTGATTTCACAACATATTGAGCAATTAGTTTTCATCAGCATGGTGTGCAAAATTGCAGAAATAGTAAGAGTAGTATGTAAGCATGATATTCCGAACATAGCTATTATTGTTGCAGTTCTACTTCGTGATGCTAGTGACTCAAACATTATATAAATTTAGGTTACATACACTTCAGTATAATCAAAAGCATTGTATTGATGTTAGCGGCCCATTGCAGGATTTGTTCCATCATATAATGTCATTTCCTACGGCTATTATTGTTTGAATGCTTAGAGTCACTCATCACTGTTTGAATCCAAAACATTTTCTGCAGATACGTGTTTAGCGGTTCTGCAAATGTTGCTACATGTCAGAGAAATTAAGAAAGGAATGAACAACTTCTTAGCATTTCTTGGTAAGCCGTCTTAACGTGCAGCCAATGGGGCTACGTGTGATTTGAGTGTGTGTGTGTGTGTGTTAAAGGGAGCTGGAGGTAAGAGTGGCTATGGAACCAGGGGGCTGATTGTGTGTAAGATCTCCCACACTTCTTACAACCATCCGTGTTCTTCCCATCACCCCCTTCCCACTGCCACCCTGCCACTTGCCTTCCTTCCTATATATTCAAGTGCTTTGTTTCTCCTGAAGTCCTTTGTTCTTCCTCCGGCACAACATTCCAATCAAGCTGAGCACACAAACACATGCATATGAATGTGTGCCATCCTCTTTATTGGGCCTCTTCACCAACACACATTACATGTATCATCCCTGTGTCTAAGCACTGACTAATTTAAAGATCTGCCTGCTACTTAAGAGCTCAATACTGCCAGATTAAGAAAGTGAATGAATGTTGTTAGTTAGGCGGTGGATCAAAGAAACAGCATTCCTTTAGAAGAGAACTTGTGAAATATATGCTGACGATATTTATGTTATAATTGTATAGTTAGTACATAAATAACCTCAGCATATATTTCACATTTATACTTCAGTGCATGGTTTTTTGGATAAAAAAAAAAAATGTATTTATTAATTTTTTCATTAGTTTTTTGGAATTCCCGATTCTGGTGTGGTAATGTATATATTTGTATATTAACTGCTTGTATATTTGTATAATGACTGTTAAGTGCGTAATTGACCAATGTTACAAGTAATTGAATTCCCAAATAGCATGTCTTTCATATCACTCTGTGGCTTCATTTTCATTTTTCATCTTAAAATAATATTTTTTTTAATAATTAAAGTTATCAAGGTTAATCGAGTTAAATATACTGTATATGTGTGTGCATTTAATTGAATTATATTAATTATGGTCTAAATTTTGAACAGTGTAGACATTGTTTTATAATTTAACAAAAGTCTCTTGTTGTGAAATAAATATAATTGTGTTTACAAAATGTTCTTGCATTAGCTTTATATAAATGAAATGCTACTTGCTTTGATGTTTTGTAATATTATGCAATGACATTCATTCGTTTTTAATTACGGCTTAATTGACTAAACACATTGTAGTCACTTTAAATCTAAATTCCATGTATGACTCACTTTTTAATTATGTTAACTTTGCATTAATAATGTGTTAACATCTTGCCATATGTCACTGGCACATATCTCGCGGCAGCACTCCCTTCACCCCCAGTAAAGGGATCAGTGTAGGACCGGGAGCGTTAACAAAGCTTTTGAAGGGCAGACAGTCTCGACGCAGCCTACAATGGAAAGCCGCCTCTGTATTTGCGTTTTTTGGCGAGAGGTGGTGACGAGGGTGACAAGAAGTTGAGGGGTGGAAGAGTTGAATGACCCTGCAGCAGTGGTCCCACTGCAGATCCATGACCCCCGGAGTAACGGGCCAACCTCCTGGCGTGAAGTGCTTTGTATTGGCGGTTGTGTGGAACAGGGTGGAGAGGTGAAGGGGGGTTGATGGGAGTGCAGCAGATAATTCAGGCCTCCTGCAACACACATGGCCCTTGAATGAAAAGGGAGCTCGGCATTGTGAGGGCATCTCAATGGCTCTAGCTCCTCATTTGTTGAAGACAAATGTCCCTCTGAACATAAGTGTCTTTTGCTTAAACCCCAAACAGAGCGAAGTCATTAATCATCCATTTTGTGTGGCCGAGCACTTGCTCCAAAAATTAAGAGTCGTACTCAACATTCATAGAAGCTGGCATGAAAAACAAAGGATTACTTTACTGAACCATTAATAAATGTTACACACAAATAAATATACTCTCACATATACACAAAAGAATATTATTAATAAGCAGATCACGTTCAGTTTGGCGTTTGTGACCAACTGCTTGCCATTTTTTCAGCCTGCACTTTTTTTTGGACTTTTAACTAGTTGATATGGGAGTTTATGGGCATGTTAGATTTTAGTGACCTTTGTAGAGGCATGTATTCTTTAATAGGGACAAATAGCATTCTAATTTGCAGTAATTGTATTGTATTTAATTGCATAACTAAGTATTTTCTTGCATTTTAATAATAGATAACCTAACCTAACAGTAACCTAATAGATATCTCCTCATGTTGACTGATTATATTAAGAAAAACATCTTTTGTATTACAAGTTTTCTGAAATGTTGTCTAAATATGCAAATGTGGCACTTCTTAATTAAATATGCACTAATTTGCATACATTTCCAAAACAGAAATCTGCACTGTGGATGAAGCCAGGCTCAAAATTCTTGCTTCATTTTGCTGACATATGAGACTCAAAGGTTTTTACTGAGAGGATTTTAGATATATTTTTCTCTCTCATAAATCAGAAAATACTGTCAACAGCCAGAAGTAAGTAAGTAAATAAAATAAAATAATCTTTGATCAAACCCTGATGTAAAAACCTTCAGAATATATATGGGAATAAAACTGTAATGTTTGTAAGTGCTACTGAAGTGGAGATTTGTGGCTTAGTACATGAGGGGGGGAAAATGCTCATTTTGGCCTTTAAAGATAGTTGTAATTAGATGCAAATAGATAAAATGCTATAAAATGAACACTTAAGGTATATTTTGGATGTTTTCTTTCCAGTAGTCTGAAACAACACGTTATGACACGCCAAATAGCCCAAAATCTCAAAACTTGACCATTACATGAAAAATCAGTGTTTTTGCCTGTAGTGTCTTATGCCTTAATAATAATTTTGGTTTAGTTGGTTAGCTGTTTTAACCTAGGGCTCTGCCAGCCATGTTTGGCAGACACAACCCTAAAACCAGCTGACTGAGAATATTTTGTTTGCACATATACTTCTTTCTGGATTTTTATACTTGGCATAGGCCTAATTTTGCGGACATACAATGAAAAACAATATTTGATGGTGAAACAATTTTCATTCAGAAACTGCTAGTAAATTTCACAAAGAAACAGCAAGTAACACACTGAAGAAATAAAATGACTGAAATAATATTTTCCTGTAAAAAATACTCCAATAATCTTTGTTTTATTAACATTTTTGCAGTGCATTTAAAAGTATTGGAGACTAGAATGTAAAATGCTTTGGGGACATTTAACTGATATATCAGGGTTTAAGTTTAGTCTTAATATTAATGCCAGTAAAAACTCTCTGAGTCTGGATTTTGTTCAGAGCCCTGCCACATAAATCCCTGCTTGAGTTTGTCTAGAATTAAAGCTGAGGTATTTCATTCATTGTCTGTCTAATGAATATTTATAGCTGCTCTCACAATGCAGGCAGCCTCCAAAGCTCTTGAGAAGAAGTCAGCTTGTGTTGGACTCCCAGGTCAAGGAACTCTGACAGACTGCTGCACAAAGGAGACTTGACTCAAGCATTCCTTTGCGTTGCCTTCGGATGCTTTTGTTTGTCATATTTCACCATCTACATATTCATACTCCTTTAACTCATTAGTAGTTATTCATTCATTGAGGCAAGCCCACTTGACCCCTTCTCTAACTTGTCATGGGCATAAAATAGTGATGGTTGGTTTGCCAAATATTTTAAGTGTGCTTTAGTAGGCCCTATATACCACAACCAATAGCTTTAGTTGCAGTTTATGCTTTAAAACATTTTCCACTTTACCCTGTGCTGAAAAAAATCTTTACAAATCCATAAAAGCATTATATAAAACTCCATCTTCCTGACAACTGCAACTATTTTGTGTTAGACAAATGTGATTTGTAAAGTACAATTAAAACAATCTTAAAATAATTTTCAGTCACTGTTAATAACCATTACTAAAAAAAATTTTATCGTTTAAGCCTACTGAAATTCGCATTAAAATATGAAACTAATTGCAGTCTGCAAAAGAAATACCTGGATATTAGCTTCAAAGGAGAGGAATACTAAACGCCCTCTCTTTGAACTGATACCGTACCCAATCGTCTAAAATTACTATTGTGCAAATGAACGTGGGCAAACATCCGAAACTCATTGAACAGGTGTGGGGGCCGTCACTCAAAGCACCCTTGTGTCCCAAGGCACGCCCACCAGCGCCATATATGGAGCGCATTCCAGGGGGCGGAGTCACCTGGCTTCCCATATCCATGAATGAAACCTCAACTCCACTTAGTAAGTTCCTTCATGCCGGAGTCGGAGGAGTTTCGCATGGACCAAAAAGTTTAATTTGACAAACGCAATGGACTACAGACGCACTCGGTTTCATTTCTTATTTTTGTATTTATTTGTTAACAACGTATTTATTGGGATCCAGTCAAAAGAACGTAAGTACAGGTCGAGATTTTCTTTGTTTGAATCTTTTCACTCAGAGTTCACGTTTCTATTTATAATTACTGTATGATGAATGAATAAAATATATTATTTGTGACAAAATCGTAATGGTTAGATTTTCATATAATATTTCGAAATATGTTTAGGCTATATGTTTATATTTTTCCTCTACAAATCTACATATAAGACATTTAAATGAGTAAATTCCTTTTTTTTTTACTGTAACAATATTATATGATCCTTAGATGTGCTACTTGATATGAAGGCTGCCGGAAGTGAATTAGGTTGGTTAACCTGGCCGAATGAAGAAGGGGTGAGTCTTATTAATTGATCCGTTCCCTGTACATTCACCATACCCTGCGTTAAGATCCATGAATAGACTCTCTTCAGTCCAGTTTCGTTAAGTGTACATCTTAAAGAGGTTACATGGATGCATGAGTCAGTGTCATTTCGTGCTCTAAAACACCAATCAAAATTAGTCATATTCTCTCAAATCCATTAAAAAGCTGCTTTTCTCTCTCTCTCTCTCTCCTCGCAACAGGCTTGAATAACATCCGAACCTATCATATTGTGTATTGATGAATATTTAATGTACAGTAGCTCCAAAAAGCATTTGGACACCATATGTCCATATATATATATTGTTATATTTTTATGTGTAACATAAGTGCTCCAGTACATTTTGGGATGTTTTGCACCAGAGTGTTTAAATATTTCTTTTCTGAAGGATTGAGCAGAAATAAATTCTGGTTATAGGCTTTAGAGTGCGCAAACCACTTTTTTTTTCTTTTGAGCTTTGGTTTATAAGAATTCACTGTGAATTCCTCTTCAGCCACACAACGACCTCTCAAGAGATGTACCGAGAGGGTTCCACCACTTCCCCTGACCATGCATGCTCACACGCTAAAGTGTTTAATTAGTCTTTTCGAGGCTAGTCCTGTCATCTTCATTCCCTGATGTCGTGAAGGCTTCTATCAGCTCTACTCAGCTGCTGGACCCTTTGAGGTCACACTTATTTTGCCAGCTATTTCAGTACTTTTTGAAGAGTCGAGTTAAAAGGGAGTTGTATCAAGGCAGAGCGCGGTGGGAAAGAGGAGAGCAGAGGCCTACTTTTTGTCAACCACACCCTTCTAATGAGTTTTACAAAGGTGTGATTCCCGCAGTTTTAGTCTAACATTTAGCAGGATATTGTAATATTTCATTTTAAAGTTATTTAAGTGCTCTGTGGTACTATCAAGTCAATTATTTGTCTTTCTGAGAATCCCGATAAGCCTGACTTAACCAATGGCATGAGTTTTGGGTGAGACTTAAAGCAGTCATTAATTTTCCAATACAGAAATAAAATGCTCCACCTTTGAAAAAAAAGTTTAATTTGAGTGACTTTTCTCTCATGCTTATTATGAGATCATAAAACATTTTCTCTTTTTTCCATCTTTCTTAGTGGGAGGTTGTCCAGACGGTGGTGAACGGCTCTCTTCTTTACACCTATAGTGTGTGTAATGTTGCCAGTGATACAGAACAAGACAACTGGCTTCGTACGACCTTTATCCAGCGTAGGCCCGACGTCTCTCGCGTATCCGTAGAACTGCGCTTTGTCGTCCGTGACTGCAACTCGTTTGGCAGCTCGTCGCCTTCCTGTCGCGAGACTTTTGGCCTCTATCTAGGCGAAACTGACACAGATGTTGGCACAAATTTCCGCAAGAGCCAGTTTCGAAAGATAGCCACCGTAGCCCCAGACGAGGTAACAGCTAATCGTGGAGGGGGCCGAGCTGATCTGCGGGTGAACGTTGAGACGAAGAGCATCGGGCCACTCTCCAGAAGGGGCTTCTACCTTTCTTTCCAGGATTTAGGAGGCTGTGTTGCTCTCCTGGGGCTGAGGGTGTTCTACACCACCTGCCCAGCCACGATGAGAAGCCTGGCCGCCTTCCCCGAGCAGGTGGCGTCAGGAGCGCTGGCGGAGGTGGAGGGCACCTGTGTGAAGGACGCAGTGATGGTTGGAGAAGCTGCTCCTCGGATGTACTGCACCGCTGAGGGAGAGTGGGTCGTTCCTGTGGGCCAGTGTCTCTGCCAAGCGGGATACCAAGCTGTTGGAGATGCTTGCAAAGGTGAGTTTTGATGTTTATTGTTTAGTAGTGTTCTGGGCTTCAATGATATGTTGAACTTATGCTTATTTAACAGTGGTTGATGGATATGGGTTTTTACTTAATTAAAAAATTCTGGTTCCTCTAAAGCATGGTGGCCAATATCGAATATACAAGTGATAATGTACAATCAGATTGTCACTATCCCAAAAGTGGTCAGACAAAAATATTTAAATGTAGATTGACGCAACTGACCAATCAGAATCAAGTATTCCAAAAAGCTGCATAAAGATGCTGATATATACTTAGAATTAGCAGTGAAACCTACTCAAAATTGTTGAAACACAAACTCAAAATTAACCAAAAAGATGAAAGAAAGAAAGAAAATGAATGGGGATAATTTCGAATTGGCCAAAAAATGGCATATCAATATATATAGCGGACTGTCACTATAATATACTTTACATTATTTCATTGTTTGAGTCAATAACTCTGCACAAGTTGAAGATCATTTGGGAACAACTGCAGGTCTTTGTGGGTGGGCAGATGGTAAATGTGTTGTCGGGTGAGGGTGTGTTCTGGGAAGCTTGCAATAATTTTGTGGTTGCCACAGAGTTGTCTGAGAAATTTGTGAGAGGCCAGAAATATGACTCAAGTCAAATGGAATGTCAGCCGTTTCCCCACCCTTTCACCTGCTGGTGTATTATTTCTACATGTGTGCTTAGCGCTTCGGGAAGGAAGTGTGAAGATACCAGGGTACTATGGTTAAGGAGTATATGTACATAGTTACAGTGGTATGATTTGCATTCATAGGTTTTTAACCTTTGCACATTCTCAGATATCTTGCATTTGAATAAGACTTAAATAACGTGTTTGGGTGAAAGGGTTAGTCTTCAATAATGAGCTATAATGCTTTTCATTAGATAAAAAGATCTGCAAACAACTTTTCTCAGAACTAATTTAGACTTTTATCAGCTAGTGACTTAACCAACTGGTCCCAATGTTTTTCTTTTTAGTGGATGTATGAAGTAATTTCCACTCAAGTTTGGTTTGGGATGTTATCTAACATATGATACATTCATACATTAAGTGTGTATTAAGTATTGGGCTACTATAACAAGTTCTGACAGAAAAAGGGATTCTATTTAAGGTTTTTCCAAATAGTTTCAAGGAATTCCCCCAAGGTCGTATTACACTTTTCCCATACCCTCCAACAGCTGATATGACTCAATGGGCAGAGCTACCATTACCTGTGTTACATTGTGCAAGTGTGTTACCATGAGAACAGCTCACCGCAGATTACAGAGAAGGTTTGGCATGCCCAAGGTCTGTCTGGGGTAGTCATCGTATAATTAAAGGTTGGGCTGGACCTCTCTGGACACCTTTTGTATTTGTGGGAAAATGTGGTTTTGAGTAGACACGCTATTTATATGTTACTGTAAAACGTAAAACCAAAGGAATTAAAATCCATTGGTAAACACATTGCAGACCAACTGCAGGGCACGTTTGTTGAACATGTTGTAAAAAAGGATATCACTGGAAAAAATGTTAGAGATAAATCTTTTCAAAAGTGCCATATAGGAACAGTCAGGAAGGGCAATCTCAGGAAAGCATGTTTTAAAGACCTTGGCCTCTGGCAGCCCTACAGGAACCTGCACCTGAAACAGACATTGAAGAACATCACGGGAGTTCAGAATATCTGAAGGCATTCGGGGTTATTGGGAAAAGGGCAGATTCCATACATTTCCTTCATAATGTAGTTTCCAGGAGACATGCTAAATGTTTTGACACCCTAGGAAGAAGTGTGATGAATGATGACCTGATAAAATAGCTCATGGGGGAGTTGTAATGGAGACTGGTATCTTGTTGACTTTGTGATGACATGTTTCAGGAATGAGGAGTACATGTCCAGACATCCCAACCTGTGGTTCTTTCCGTTCTGATTCTGACAAAGCCTTTTTTCTTCTTCTGTAAATGATTGTTTCACTCTGTAATTTGTTCATCCACTCATCTGTTGAAAGACTGTAGTAATTAACAACCTTTGCCCATACCTCTTGATTCAACTTGGTTGGGTTTTTTCTCCATAGAGTGAAAAGATGCCTCAAAGCATTCAATGTAAAAGAGGGTTCTTAACCCCAAGCAACCATTGAAACAATGAAGTTGCTGTTGTCATTGTTTTCATGGGAGTTTTTCATGAGTGGTTTTCTACGTGACTGCTGTTCTGTTCAGCTTATCGCCACCTGCCAGTGTTTGTTGGGGACAATTGTGATTGGTTGCCGGGCAGGGATGGGGGGAAGGGGTCTCATTTGAATGGTTAGCCATCAGAGAAACGTGGAATTGAGAATTTCGGGGGAGATCACAAGTGTTCCAATGTTTTCACTGCTTGTGAATTTGATACTGGCTACTACCAACGATGACTATAGTGTCATGATTTATTTTTATAACATTATATAAGAGTTTACTGTTAATTGCATTGACACATGAAACATTTTTGAAATTAGCTCCAGTTTAATAGATGTTTAATCCAATTAGCAGTTGGGCACTTTATTTAGTGATTCAGTGGTTATCTAATGGTTCAATGCTGCAACTAATACCTAGAGAGCAGTGTGGTCTATATTTTACTTGAATAAAATATAAATTTTATTTAATTAATCATTTATTTTTATTAATTTTATATTTTACTTTTTTGATTTTTTGATTATATTGCATATTTAATTGTGCTTTCTCATTTTTGCTATTTTGTGATAAAGGTAAAGTTAATCATTAAATTCGAATTTATTAACATTAAGTGTAACGTAAGCAAATGTCAAAATTAATATCTAGTTTTTATACTGTACATTTTTAATGTTGTGATTCCCAAATTCACTCATTAATTTATTCAAAATGGTAATTAAAATAGAATTGTATTTATAGGCCATAACATTAAAATAATTATTAAATATTGTTTAGGGAAACATTTCTTGATATTAAACCATTAGTTTTCTTTAAAAGCCACTGGATTGCTCTCGCACGTTGTTGAGGACTACTGTGTTGGCGAAATTGCTATTCTAACTGTTGACCTTTCTACCCAAAGGGTAGAAAAAAACTATTCCCTTTGTGCATTGTGTTCACCAGCCAAAGACTTGGAGTCTTATCAGCCCTGCCAATCATTTGTGTCATGCATATTTTAGTGGTTGTGGGAACATAAACATGGCACAAGTATGCAAAATGGCCTTAGTCACTTTTCCACACTTTGCTCACATACTGTTTCTGATGGCTCCTTGTCTGTCCACCAACGCAGCATTGCCCTAAATAGTTTCTTAGTGAAATCGGTCATCCTGACTCGTCAGTAGTGCCATGAGCAAATTACACATTACAAAGAGCTTTCTAAACATATTTCACACAAAGTTCCCATGGAAACAGCATTAACATATTGAATCAGACTTATTACTCATGGCTGACAAGCATCTTGGCGTTTGGTGAAATTTGGATTCATTCAGACCAATTTCATGTATGCCACTCTCAGTAGACACAAACATGAAGATTAGAGGAATAGAGTGGGAGTTTCCCACTCTTGTTCTGACTTCAAATAAAATGCACAAAAAAGGGCTGCCTTTCTTATGCGGACCCCCTCCTATAGACGTCCACCCTTATACACAGAGCAAATACACAAAACCCAATGTAAAATCCCAGCGGGAGAACTTCTGTCTGCAATCCTCACTCACCCATTCACACTCACACTCGCACACCTCCCATCGGTCGTCAATCTGAAACTCAGCCCTTTGTTTGAGGTGAGCACTGAGAGATGGGCCCCAGGGGGGACAAACTCCCCTCAAAGGAAGTTTCTCAGCTCTGTGGAATCTATATTCACAGTGATTTTGCAAGCCAGTGAGTTTCTCATGCCCATTAAAAGTACACCTATCAGAACCGGCCTCTTCTTAAGAGCGTGCATGTGATTCTGAATCATTGCTCTCGGATGCCTTTAATAATTGTTATCACCCCCCACCCCTGGCCTCCATTCCTTGTTTTCGGAGTTTCTTCCCTTTGTGTTTGTTATAGCATGTCCTCATCATTCGGCAGAGGAAGGAAAGGAGGAGAAGAGGAGACCAGAGGGCTTATATTGACGCTTGCAGTTCCGACATCCTGTTTTGTCCAACGGACATCCACATGCGCTTCATTGCATTTTTTTCAAATCTCTTTCTTTCAGTATTTTGGCACTAAAATTGACAGTGCAGACATAATTAGTCATGAAAGGTCTATACAAAAGTTGGTGACCAGTTTAACTGGTTTTATTTAAAAGTATCTTCCGGTTGCATTGTGAAGTGTGATCAGTTTGTTGAATGTTTGAATGACTGTTGTACGTTGCCTGTTGGTTGCACCATCTTGATTGGCTCTTTCTGTGTGCAGTTGTGATTGTGCCAAAATATTGACCTTCCCTTTATGTGCACAATGGCCAAAAATAAAGAAATGTGTGATGTGGTTATATATTAAATGTGAATCTGTCGTTTTAGTTAATAAATGCCTCATGTTCATCTGTTTTTTTTTTCCTGTCTTTTTTTTAAAGCTTGTGAACCAGGTTACTACAAGAGCACAGATTCCAGCCAGCCATGTGAAGTGTGTCCAGAGAACACCAAGCGCTCAGGTCGTGGAGCACTGCTGTGCCCCTGCATGGAGGGCTTCTTCCGGGCCCCTACGGACCCTGACTCTGCTCCTTGCTCTTGTAAGTGTGAATATGTGTTTTTTTTACTCCTCTACAATATTGTTTGATCTTAAGAAACAATCTTTTTTATTCTCTGCATTTTAATCTAGTTTCTAAACATACCATGTTTTGCTCTTCTAGCTCTGCCTAGCCCACCCCAAAACCTGGTATACATGCCCCTCCTGACTGCGGGGAGTTTGCAACTGAGCTGGCGCCCCCCGGCAGACACTGGCGGCAGAAGCGACATCACATACAGTGTGGCTTGCGAGCGCTGTGAGGGTGGTCTGTGTTCACTGTGTGGTGGGAGGGTGCGATTTGAGCCTGCGCAGACGGCCTTGAAAGACCCCGAGGTCGTGGTTAGCGAGCTGGAGCCTCATGTGAACTACACATTTACAGTCGAGGCCCAAAGTGGCGTGTCCCAGTTCAGTCGAAAGAGAGCCACGGCAAGCATTACAACAGCGCTTCACTTCACAGGTTAGATATTTAAGAATTTAAGTTTAAATTGCACAAATATCAAGCTATTGAGCGACAAGCAATAGTTCTGTCCTCAGTGAAGGTGAAAATGTGGCAAAAATCACATCCATTTGCATTTAATGTTTTGCCACATGAAGCTGAATTTTGAACCAATGAGGTTTCTATGTGGGCGGAGCTACCCAGTGCACATCATTGCCTGTCACAGCTCGATAAGATTAACAGATTAACATGGAGGAGAACTGATCACATGTCATGCCGGTTTAAGACACAGTGTATCAAATGGCATTAAATGTAAATTGAGACATTGATGGTTAGCGAAAATACTGATGAATTGTGCCTCTTTATTTAGATGGCCCAAGGGTGCTATTCCTGAGAGTAGAAGATCGGACCACCAGCACTCTGACTTTATCCTGGGTCGTGGACCACCATGTGCAGAATAACTATTCCCCCCGCTATGAGCTCATGTACCGCAAGAAGGTGACTATGATATCTTATTATGTTACCTTTTTTTTAATAAGAATATCATAGAGACTTGGGTGGTGGGACTGTAGACAAGCACCCAGAACACCCTAGTAACCACTTAGCAATGCGCTAGCAACCCACCTAGAACACCCAAGAAATCACTTATCAGTGTGCTAGCAACCCACCATAGCAGCTACTTGGCAATGCCCTGCCAAATCATCTAGAACAGTGTTTCCCAACCTTTTTTTAGTCGCGGCACCCTTTGGAAATTTTAACAAACTTGTGGCACCCTACAAAATGTATTTTGTCACAATATTTGAATTTCTAACTTCGATATGATAATTTGAAAAGTAGATATTCAGTACAACAGGGAAGAACTGCAGAATATAATGTCATACAGATATTTTTTATATTATTAAAAAATGTTGTCCATCAATAGTGGCAATCAGTAGGCTAATTTCTAATGAAGAGACCAATTTATATGACAGATTTTAATGTAGGCTTTTATACATATGTAAACATTATTTAATTACCATTATAACTAGCTATTCTCACAAATGTTTGCTCACTCAGTGTTTTTTTAAATTTACAGTGGGGTAATGTTGGTGCAGTAGCACGAGATAGCTTGATTTCAAACTTTGAATTGAATAAAAAATGACAAGCAGTCAGTAATAAAATAAGAACAAATAAAGAAATTAATAATGATAGCACAAATAAAAA